TATCTGGGAAGTTAAAGTCTCCCATGATCACACAATTCCTATTAGTATTTACTTCATTAAAAACGTTAAAGAGGTCTCTATCCATATCCAAATCGGATCCCAGCGGTCTATAGCACACCCCAAGCACTATCCCAGGAGAGGCTCTAGTAGCTTTCTTCCCCAATGTGATTTTTGCCCAGACAGACTCTGTCTTATCTATTCCATCTCTTCTTATTTCTTTACAGTCTACCTCATCATTGATATACAATGCTACTCCACCACCTTTGCCTTTATTTCTGTCTTTCCTAAACAGCACATACCCTTCAATACCTGTACTCCAGTCATGACTACTATTCCACCATGTTTCTGTTATCCCTATAATATCCGGTTTCACTTCCTGCACCAGTAACTCTAGTTCCTCCATTTTGTTACCTAGGCTCCTCGCACTGGTGTACAAACATCTTAATTCTTGCTGTTCGGCTTCGCTCACATTCTTTACCCGATTAGGGACAGACATTCTACCGCCAGTGTCACCTGTTAGACTGGTATCTACACTACCCTTCCTCCTTACGTCCATTCTCATACCCACGGCTGTATCCTTTCTTACTTTGTTTTCTTCCTTCTCAATGTTAAATTCCGGCGTGGAGATTACCTGGACATCTCCCAACCATCTCCCTCCAATTCCTAGTTTAAAGCTCTCTTCATCAGTTGTGCCAGCCTCCATCCTAGAAATCTATTTCCCTCTCTACTAACGTGAAATCCATCCCGAGAGAACAGTCCTCTGTCCATGAATGCCTCCCAGTGGCCATACATCCCAAAGCCTTCCTTATAGCACCACTGCCTGAGCCATCTGTTGATCGTCATAATCTTGTCACACCTTTGTTGCCCTTCTCTAGGAACAGGCAGAATCCCACTGAAGATCACCTGAGCCTCGATTTCCTTAAGCGACTTCCCCAGCCTGGCATAGTCTCCCTTGATACGTTCCAGCGAGAATCTAGCTGTATCATTCGTTCCCACATGAAGGACAATCAGTACATTCTTTCCCGCTTCCGTTAGGATCCTCTTCAGCCTCAGGTCCACATCCCATATCTTAGCACCCGGCAGACAGCACACTCTTCTGTTCTCCAGATCAGCTCTAGTTACAGGCCTGTCTATTCTTCTCAGTAAGGAGTCCCCAATCACGTAGACCTGCCTTTTCCTGGTGACGGTGTGATTCTCCGGTCTATCCCCTGCTCCCTCTGGGTGCAAGTCCTCTCGATTTCTATTGTCCCTTGTAATCCTCCGCAACCCATCCCGTATCCTCTTGGGGCTCATGTTTGGTGTTGTTATCTCCATTGACTCTTCCCCTCTTTTTATAGGACTAGCTGCTCTTCTCTTCTTCCTTGCCCTCTCACCCTCAGCGACCACCTGCTGTGCCCCTTCTTCATTTTCCAACTCCGCAAACCTGTTCCTGAGCTCTATTTCTCCTTCACTAGCCCGTCTTTTCCTCTGCCTGGTTCTCTTAGGGTATGTCTACACTACAGGATTAATCCGAATTTAGATAATTCGAATTTGGGAAACAGGTTGTATAAATTCGATTGTGCGCGGCCACACTAAGCACCTTAATTCGGTTTTAAACCACATTAATTCGGTGGTGTGCGGCCACACTACCCCATTAACTTAAACACAGTAATTCGGTGGTGTGCGGCCACACTAACCCTAATTCGAATTAACAAAATCGATTTAGGCTCTACTCCGTTCGTCGAGGTGGAGTACAGAAATCGATTTAAAGGGCCCTTTAATTCGAATTAACTGGCTCTGTAGTGTGGACGGGTGAAGGGTTAATTCGGATTAAGGCAGCTAAATCCGAATTAAAGTCCTAGTGTAGACCAGGCCTTAGTCACATGCTTCCACTGTCCACTTTCCTCACCCAGCAGTCTCCCCTCAGAGTTCTTTGGTCCTGCTTCCATGTGCAAGTCTGAGCTTTTCCATTCAGACTCCTCTTTTTTGCTCCATCATCCGCTCGAACACCCTTCTAAACTCAACCAGAGTTTCCACCTGCATCTCCAATCCTTGGATCTTTTCTTCCATCAGCTCTATCAAGCAGCACTTCATGCAGACGAAACTCTTATCAGGTACCCCCTCCAGGATCATGTACATGCCGCAGGTTCCACATCCAGTCATCTTCATTGTGTCTTCCACTGCCTGGGTCACTACCACTGCTGCCTCTGTATCTGTCATAGCCTTCTCACCTAAATCCTATGAATCTGGGAAACACAAACCAAAACACCACCACCCACAGCACAACAAACCCCCAACAAGCACCAAAACACTGCTAGAACACTGCACCCTCCCTTCACTAGCCTGTCTGATCCTCTGCCTGCCTCTCTTAGTCTTCCCCCAAACTCCCCCTGCAAACTCCCACTCAAACTCCCCTGTTTACAGCTCTGTTTGCTGGCTCCTGTGCCAGTCCAGTGAGGCTTATGTATCTTGAAGAATGCCCCTGCCGGGTCTAGTTTACGTAACCCAAAGGTGGAATATTACACAAACAGGCCTCCACCCCAGCATCCTCGCTGGATGGGGAAGGGGCTGTGTAAACCTTAGTCCATAAAATCTGCTTATGTCCAGGTCCTGTACCAGCGAGGCCTTCTGCACTCCGGAACTCTCTTCTGGAGCCAGGGTAGGGTCTCTTTCCTCTTGGGTCTAGGTCCCCCTAGAGGTCAAACCAGAAAAAAACAAACTAGGGAAATACAACCTAGATGGAGCTACTATAAGGTGGGTGCAAAACTGGTTGGAAAACCATTCCCAGAGAGTAGTTACCAGTGGTTCACAGCCATGCTGGAAGGGCATAACGAGTAGGGTCCCGCAGGGATCAGTTCTGGGTCCGGTTCTGTTCAATATCTTCATCAGTGATTAAGATAATGGCATACAGAGTACACTTATACAGTTTGCGGATGATACCAAGCTGGGAGGAGTTGCAAGTGCTTTGGAGGATAGGATTAAAATTCAAAATGATTTGGAGAAATGGTCTGAAGGAAATAGGATGAAATTCAATAAGGACAAATGCAAAGTACTCCACTTAGGAAGGAACAATCAGTTGCACACATACAAAATGGGAAATGACTGCCTAGGAAGGAGTACTGCGGAAAGGGATCTGGGGGTCATAGTGGACCACAAGCTAAATAGGAGTCAACAGTGTAACACCATTGCAAAAAAAGCAAACATCATTCTGGGATGTATTACCAGGATATTGTAAGCAAGACACGAGAAGTAATCCTTCCGCTCTACTCCACGCTGATTAGACCTCAACTGGAGTATTGTGTCCAGTTCCGGGCGCCACATTTTAGGAAAGATGTGGACAGATTGGAGAAGGTCCAGAGAAGAGCAACAAACATGATTAAAGGTCTAGAAAACATGACCTATGAGGGAAGATTGGGGGAAAAAATGGGTTTGTTTATCTGGAAAAGAGAAGACTGAGAGGGGACGTGATAACAGTTTTCAAGTACATAAAAGGTTGTTACAAGGAGGAGGGAGAAAAATTGTTCTTCTTATTCTCTGAGAATAGGACAAGAAGCAATGGGCTTAAATTGCAGCAAGGGAGGTTTAGGTTGGTCATTAGGAAAAACTTCCTGTCAGGGTGGTTAAGCACTGGAATAAATTGCCTAGCGAGATTGTGGAATCTCCATCATTGGAGATTTTTAAGAGCAGGTTAGACAAACACCTGTCAGGAATGGTCTAGATAATACTTAGTCCTGCCATGAGTGCAGGGGACCAGACTAGATGACCTCTTGAGGTCCCTTCCAGTCCTATGATTCTATGACAGCCCTTTCTCAGAAGAACATGTAATTCCTCTGATCTGGGGCTCCTGCTGCTTCCTGGTGAAGTCCTTCCGTTGGGATCAGGTTTCACTGAGACGTGGCATCCATCCTCCCTTTCAGAGCCTCTCCCACTCAGGGGCACGTTTCCTTTCCCGGTGACCCCCCTCACCAGCTCCCCTGAGAAGTTTTCCCATTGAGAGCATTCTCTTTCTGTGTTCTGGGGACCGTTTCTCTTCCCCAAAGTCTATGTTGTCTAGGGAGAGCCCTCTGGGAGCAGCTGCCTAGCCAGCTCCCCTGAGGAGTTCATTCCCTGGGTACTTCCTGCCTGAGCCCACGCCATCCTTCATAAGGCCTAGGTTTTCCTTAACTGATTAACTACTGCCCAGCTGCTTAGGTTGTCGGTTATTCCCAGGTGAGTCTGGGCTGGCTCCTCTTCAGCAGAGCCTGGCACAGGTAGGCTGGGAGCTGACTGTCTTCGGGGCCAGCTGCCCTGTGCCATGCGCTCATCACCCCAGTATCGGAGCACCTCACAGTCATGATCCTCACAAGACTCCTTGGAAGCTCTGAATGCTTATCCTCTTTCACAGACAGGGAACTGCGGAACTAGATAGATGAAGTGACTGGCCTGAGGTGTCAGAATGGATCAGTGGCAGAGCTGGACATGGAGTCTAGATCTCCCAGGTCCTAGTCTAGCACCCCGTCCGCCTGACCAGCCTCCCTCTCTCACATCTCTATTCCTTATCCCCTGCCCAGAGAGAGCAAGAGATCAGTCCAGATAAACTTTCTCTGGAGATATGAGGCGTGATCCATTTACACCAGTGTAAACCCAGAGGAAATCCACTGAAGTCCCTAGAATTACATTGGTGTAAAACTGGTGTAAGTAATGGGCGAATCTGGCCCTAAGAGCTGTTACTGTATAATGCAGCGACCGTTCTTCAACCTAGTGTCCTCTTGGGCCTGGAGCTGGTCTGGATATCTTTCAGAATCCAGACCACAAACACCATTCAGTAACCGCAGACGCAGTGACCCTTTGGCCCCGTGTCAATCAGCCACTATTCAATATTGGCAGCCACAGAAATACCCAGTAGGGACTGACCATGGGCACATGGGTCTTATGGCTGTCACCGGGATATTGCTCCTTTTCCTAGGCGTCTAGTTCCCTGTGTGTGCACTGGGCAGTCTGGCACAGCCTAAGCTAGGTTTCTGGTGCTTTGTTTTCAACAGGCTGCATGCAGGGAGGTTTACCAGCTCAAGGGTGGCATCCACAAGTACCTGGAAGAGTTTCCGGATGGGTTCTACCGGGGGAAGCTGTTTGTGTTTGACCAACGTTACACCATCTCTGCCAACGAAGATGTCATTGCAGGTAGGGCCATCACGTCTCGGATCACAGAACGAGAGCTGTCAGAGTCACCCCAGAGCCCTCTAGGACAGAGGCTCGCGCACTGTGGCCTGGGGAGCACCCGCAGCAGAGAGCAGGCTGGGCTCAGGGGTGCTGGCCTTGCTGCCTTGTTTCCAGCTACTGAATTGCTTTAAGGACAGATAAAAATCCATGGAATGCTGTAGAAGTGCAGGACTCACTCCTGCGGCGCCTCCTGCTGGTTGTCCTCGGGAATTAGCTCTCCCAGCCTTGGAGCGCCCTCTGCAGGCTGGTGATCCGCCTTGCCACTGGCCCCGTGTCCCTCCCAGGACCCCGGTGCCCCTTTCTCTGGGTGCTGCCCCCGGCAGTACCCCCACAGTCCCAGGGGAACCCCCACCCACTATCCCCACTTCGCCTAAGTCTTGGCTACTGCCCAGTCTCCATCTAGCCTCGTTCACTGGGGCAGACTGCAGTATCAGCCACTCATCACAGGCAAAGGGGTTTGGACCTGCTGCCTCTGCCTACCCACGGGCTGCCTCCTGCAACCCAAGTGCCCCTTTGGCCTTACCCTAGGCCTGCAGCCTGGGGCTTTCCTAGGCCGGAGCTCCCCAGCTCCCTTGGCCTTTCCCCAGCCCTGCTCCACTCTAGGCACTTAATTAAGCTCCCTGCAGCCAGGCCCTTCTCTCTCTACCACTAGAGAGACTGTCTGTCTGCCCCTGGCTTCCCTGCCTTTATAGGGCCAGCTGAGTCTGTTTGGGGCGTGGCCACAGCTGAGGCTGCCTCTCAATCAGCCCAGCCTAAGGCTCCCAGCCCCAGCCATCTCCAAGGGCTGGCTTTTAACCCTTTCAGGCCAGGAGCGGGTAACCACCCCGCTACAAATGCTTTCCTAATACGGCGTTTCTGACCGCCAATGGCCCAGGGATCTCTGTGATCAGGAGTGAGGGGGAGGTTGTCTGCACGCAGGGCTGGAAGGGCAGGGGCCACGAGATAATGTTTCTGTGACGTGATGGGCAGCACAGCACACTGTCCCACAGGGAGGAGCCGCTAGTAATGTAAGTCGCTAGCACGACTAGCCCCTTGACACTGGTCAAACCATTCTGAGCCAGCACAGTACTAGAGACCGAGCCACTACTCGGAGTCGGCTCCACTAACCAGAAAACCTGGTAGCAACAGCCCACGGGGCGCTTGGCTGTTCCTGGCTTTCAAGGCTTATGCAGCCCAAAGAATTGTATTTCACGCTAGTAAAAGTTGAAGATGGGTGAACACACCCTGGCTTTCCAGCTGGGTTGCGCTTCAGCTGTTCGGCTCCAGCTTGCTGGTGAGAGGTGACCAGCAAAGGACTTGGGCTAAGCTTGCCTGTGGCTTTTCTGCTCCATCTGAAGAAGAGTCAGGGCTTTCTTATGCTCAGAGGACGGTGCTGCTGTCTCTAGATGGAGAACCACTTTGAGCTCAATCGCAGCTGACTCGACTTATTCATTTGCCGTAAGTTGATCCATCTGGAAGGTGACAGGCTTAGTGCTGGGAATAAAATGTCCTTCTGAAGCCCTGGCCGTGCTCAAGAGGGACTGAAGGGGAAGCGGCACGGCTCAGTGAGCAGCTACCCGCTGGACTAGTCAGGGTTAGCTGCCAGCAGTGCAGCGGAGTCGGGAGGAAAGCTGCTCAGTAAAGGACAAGTTGTGCGCTGGGTTGTTTAGGGATGTGTAGCCTTAGGACTCTGTCCCCCAAAGCCTGAGCGCAGATTCCAAATGCAGCCCTACCATTCCTGTTTGCACACGATAGCCACAGGGAGGCACGGGCCACTGCCTAGGGACAGCCAGCTCCTGCGCATGGGGCCCTGGACGGCAGGAAGGAGTTTGCCTTAAGCTTGTTAGCATCGAAATCAAAGTAAAAAGCCCCTTTTGTGGGCAGGGGCTAGTTCTCATTCTGATGAGGAAGGGCAGGGAAGCAGGGCCAGAGCGAGACTGCAATACCCTGGAAGATGAAGGGTCACCATTTGAATGAATTTTGGCAGCCCATTCAGCCCAGACTGCAGGACATTCTCAAGGCAGAGCCAGATTGCCTAGCAGGAGAGCACAGTGCCCCAGTGCAAGTGGGATAAACAGGGCAGGATGGGTTTTAACTCCACTTCTCCTCTCCCCAGAATGCAGGTACTGCGGGACGCTCTGGGATCAGTACAAACTGTGCTCCAGCCTGCACTGCCGGCAGCTCGTCCTGACCTGCCCAAGCTGTCGAGCGAAGGGATTCACGGCTTGCTGCCCCGTTTGTCAGGAGAAAGGGCTCAAGCTGGCTTCAAACCCTTCTGGATGGATGGTCAAGGAGGAATGTGAATGCACGGACAGACGGCAGCGGGTCCCAGGAAAATGTTAGACATTCAATAATATACACTCGCGTTCTAGGGCATGGGGCTTCCGAATGTGGGTGCCCGCTTCCCAGTTATTTTCATTGGATTTGTACTTTGAGACCCCTGAGGGGGCTTTGAATCGCTCAGCCCCAGTGTCTCTTTAGCACTTGACAGTGAACCATGAACTACCCCCAGCCAAGTGTAAATTAATGGAGCGTCAAACACCACAGTGGTGCTACAGGATTCCTCCCACTGCAGCAAAGTTACTGTTCTGCCTCCCACAATGTGATGGGCGCCAGAGAGAACTTGATGATTACAGCACATGCCATGGGATTCGGCCACTCACAACCAAGCAGGAGCCAGAAGGTGAAGGAACAAGCAAGGTCTGTGCTGGCTTTGTCAGCATCATTGTGTGTGTGTGTCCTGGGCCCACCCCACAGACTCTGCATGGGCTAGGGAGATGGAGGCAGCAGGTTTTTAATCACTGGGAACACAAGCAGACTGTGGTTGAGGCTATTTTCCACATATACACCAGCAGCCAGAGTCTTCTCTCCCTTACACCAGTGTAAGTCAGCCTAGCTACACAAGTCCCTGGGTTTACACTAGCGACCAGCAGGTGTGAGACCAGAAGCTGGACCCACGACTTCATCAGAGCAAAAGCTGGCGACACTCAATGGCCATGTACAACCTCAGGCATGTTCATCTGGCGGGGCATGTTGTGTGGGAAGAGAGAGAAGTATAAACCACTCACTGCCCCTCTCTCGTGGCAGTCAGTGTCCATGTCCTACCATGCAGAAGGGAATTCACGTGACTGAGTTTTTAAATGTCCAAGATCTAGCCCTGAGCCCAGGACTTGCATTGTGCTGTGTGTGCTGCAGAAAACTGGCGGGGTTCTGAAATGCATTGAAATGCAGCCATTTGCTGAGGAAAGCACAGGGGCATGATGTAAATAGTAATGAGCACCGTAGGAGTAGGAATGGTGGTGTGTGGAGTCCCCATGTGATTGTGCGCAATGGACACACAAGAGCCGTGTAGCCCGAGGGGGTTAAATGCATCTCCATGGATCCAGAGTGGTACTGCTACACTTATTGGCATGGACTGTGTAGTTCTGCTGCTGCTGTTTCCCCTTTGAAACGTATGCCCCCATCTGTACCGGTAAAGTCAGTCAGTGGCTAGGTCCTGACAATGGCTTTTAAAAAACCCTTTGCTCAGTGTCACAGGGTCTGCTACTCACTGCTCGGCAGCGCCTCCTTGTGGCTCATCTGGGGAACTAGTTCGCCACTGTCTGGCTGTCGTTCAGCCTGTTGCCTCTGTCACTTTCACTGCAGCCCTTTGCTCTCTGCAGCGCTGCTCCTTCATGGCTTAGCCCTCTGGTCAGGTCACCCTCAGTCTCCCTTCCTCAAAGGCTCAGGCCGTCTCCATCTCCAGTGCACGGCCTGCGCCACTCCTGCACGGGCTGGTAGGGGAACCTAGGCCTGCCCTCTACACCAGCCTCCAAGCCAGGGACCCTCAGCCCAGCATGTCAGGTCTGTCCCTGTCACCCTTTACTGCTCCTCCTTCCCTGGGCTGTGTCCAAGCCTGCCTTTGTCACGCGCCTACTGTCCCACTTGTACCAGGGAGGGTGCCTGCAGGCTCACCTCCCTGCAACCCCCTCCTCCCCTACCTGTTCCTGCCCGGGTGAGCTGTTATCTCCACCAGGCTCACTGCCCCGTAGCTCCCCAGCAGGTGCAGCCTAAGGCTCCTTGGCCTCTCTTGCTCCTTGGCCTCTCTTGCTACTTGACCCCATCCATGCTAGTGTGGGGGGCTGCCCCATCACACTCCGTTTCTACAGTTGCTTATTGTCAGTTACAGCCATTTTATTTTCCATGCGGGCTGTAAAGGGACCTTCTCCCTTTCCAGAGCGGGGGGAGGAAGGCATTGCAGCAGACTTAGATTTGATGTTAATTTAATGCACTGGTTGTGTTAAATCCCACAGCAAGGCCTGACTTCTCTGACATTGTTCCCATGACTACCTGTTCAACAACTGCCGGGGTGCTGCTTTGTGTTCTCCAAGCTGGGCTTTCAAACCTGCTCTAAGCTCCACTGTGGGACCCTTCCCCAGAGCTGATATTAGGTGGTGATGATAATGCAGGGGCTGAGACCAAGCCTCCGATGTGACTAACGAGGCCCACTGACAACACTGGCTTTTGGAAGGCCCCTATTTCCCTAGGCAGCTGGTGTCCCCAGCCCTGGGTCGATGCTTGTTTGCTTACAGCAACTTTCCCAGGTGCGTTGGTGTGCTGGCCTAGGTGCAGTGTCCTGCCCTCAGGCACACGTTGCATTCCCAGCCTACATCATTGCCACTAGCTGTGGTTGGGAACAGGAGCCCACAACTGGTATGTTGCACTGTGGTATTTTTCAGGTGTTCTGTTTTAAAACCCCCGACCAGCTGACAAACCTACCAGCTAGATGACCATCCTGTAACTCCCACAAGAGGCCCTGCCCGGGTCCGTTTTCAGTACAAATGGGAAACGGTGTCAACAGTATATTAGCGTGAACTTCTAAAACTGCCAGGGGGACCCATCATCCTTGGCGCTGCCACAGAGCTGTACGAACACTCTTCATCCGTGCGCGGGCTGCTCTTATCCCTTTGGAAACCTGTGAATGGCAGCTGGGCTTCCGCTCATTCCTAAGCAAGCAGCCTGCTAACCAGGTGCTGGTCTATGGAGGGTTTCTGGCCCCTAGGAGGGGCTCTGCCCCCAAACCACATTGCGTCCTGCCCCCCAGTGTTGAGAAAGTCTCCCCATTACCCATGCCAGGGGTGAGATGGCCAGGTGGGTCAGGCACTGGCGAAGGAGGCTGGACCAGTGCTGAGTAGGACGTAGGCCCAGACCTGCTACAAGGCAGGAGAAGCAATAGGCTCCTTTATGCAAGGGGTGAGGTGGTTCCAGTGCTTTGTGCGGGAGGAGCAGGAGACTGGGGGGGTTGCTATTCTGGAGCGGGAGGGAGCAGGAAGTAAGAGGGGGCAGCTGCCCCCATGACTGTTTCACTCATCTCCAGCATAGAAGGCAAGTACATTCCATGTCCTCCATATTCTAAGGGTTAGTGCATAGGCAACCCCTGGGGTCTGGCTGTGTGCTGGTCTTTGTTAGCTACATCTAAAGAACCACTGACACAACTTGAAACGCTGACTCGACGTTTAGCTGACTCAGCACAACTGCTGTGACTCCTCTGAGACGGTACCTTAGCTCCCTGGCTCGGCAGGTCCAAGCAGGAGAGTCTGCGCACTAGCAGGCATGGTGCTCGCTGTAGGGAGGGATCCCCTTTTCCTCAAGAGCTAGTGACCATCATTACTGCTCGACAGCACAGCTGGTACAGAGCCTGATGCTTTTCCCCAGGCAACTGTGCAACGCCTTGCTCTGCTTGGTAAGCGCTTGCTCACTTACCCATGTAATTCCAGCACAGTCACCAGCATGAGTATGCCTGTCACACACAAGCCCAGAGTCCTCCCACAATATGTTTCAACTGCCAGGGGAGTTTAGATGCCACTACAGCCTGGAAAAGGGACAGGTTATTGCTTAAAATCCTCCTCTCAGGTCTGCAGGGCAGGGTCCCTCTTAGCACATTCTGCACTGTCCCCACACACCCAGATTCCCCCTGGGCATCAGGGCGAGCAGCATTTACCGTCCGGGGGAGAACAATTTCCATTCCCCTGAGTCAGTGGGAGAGCAGACACTGATGCTGGGTTAGTTCTGTGCAAATCTGAGCAGGCAACTCTGCCGCTAGCTATCGAGTGGCATCTGGCCTGATGTTTTCATTGATTTTTCTAAAGCCTTTGGGAGGTGCCTGGTGGGACTAGGGCTGTCCAGCTGGCATTGGGCTTATCGTGCCGCTTTCTGGTTTTGCAATATTCTCTAATCTTTTGTGTGGGGTTCAACAAAACACTGCACTGAAGCATTTTATTTGTGATTTCGGACACATTTATTACCATTTGAAGAGCAACAATCAAACACGTTTGTATTTCCCACTCAAGGTTAAAGTGATATAGCAAATCAGGGCCAAAGCCTGCAATCCTGATTCATGCAAAAATTCTGTTGAAATGAGTGGCAGTTTTGCTGTACCCCAAGGCACAGACTGCAGAACTCCACTGGGAACAGCAGCAGGCACAAGGTTGTGTATTAGATTGTTAGGATGGATTCTTTAGTGTATAAACAAAGGCCACCATCTGGCAATGGCTCTGCAGGGGCAGACTTCCTGCTGTGCAGCCCAGGCTCCCCCTGGAGTCAGTGGGATTGGGGTGAGTTAATGGAACTCACTGCATGCTCAGAGGCTGCATGTGTCTGCTGGAAATTCCTCCCTAGAAAGGCAGTGGGGTTTTTATCACCACACAAACCCAATTGCCTGGTGTGTTTATCCAACTCCACTCAAATGGCATCCTGGACTACATGTATTCACAGGCAGGGTATTTGCAAGTAATTTCTTTATTAGGGTGCACTATTCAGAAATTTGGGATGTTGGTAAAATAAAATCTCTAGCAGAACAAGAAGTTTTACAGATAAATAAAACGGTCATCCAGCCAGAAACCCAGAATTACGAGTCAGGGCTCCAGCACGACCCAGTAAAAGCACAGGAGGCACATTTCCAGAGAAAATCCAGGGGGAAATCCTGCCCCATTGAAGTCAATGAGAGTTTGCGCCTGACTTCAGTGGAGTCAGGATTTCATTCCCAATCTCTTAAAGCAATGGTTTTACATATCCATGCGAAAGGAGACAGGAAGATTTTAACGTCCCATCTAATACCTACTGCTCTGTTTTTATGGAGCCATTACTTTATAATCAGTGGCCTTACGTTCTTTTCATTGGGGGGGGGAGGGGGAATAAAAAAGACGAATTCTTTTGGAGGAAAAATATGGGTGCTTTTAACATCCTGTCTGCAAATAAAGTCAGCAAATGTTGGTAATTAATTGTAATTTACAAGTCCTCGAAAGGGATGGGATAGCATTGTGGTGGGAGAGTAGAAATGCTTGTCAAACAGATAAGCAAGTTGAAAAAATAAAGTATTTTTTTAAATACTTATGCAACTTGTGTAGAGCAGTAATTTTTTCCACTCATGCATAACACATCCTAAATATATCTGAAACACCACACAGGAAATCCTAAGAGAAATTAAGTCATGGGTGAATTAACAGTCACTTTTGTGCTGTGATGTATTCTAAACCAAGACTGCTTAAAATTGGCAACTTGTAACTGGATTGACTCGGCTTGACTCTAAAGAAAACATCATTAGTGATATTTGATCAAATCGTCACCTACAATCGCTAGTTAATTTAAACCTTTAGTGCATAATTATGCAACACAGAACTGAGGCACCACAGATATTTTGTGCAAGCACTTTGCCTTCGGATTTCCAGGGTATAGCACAAACCACCAGGCACGATCTTCACAGCCGGGAACTACACCCCAATTCGGCACTTGGGATAGAAAGGCCCATTCAAGTCTGCAAGTCTCCTCTTCCTCACTGAAAAAAAACAGGAACAAGGATCAGTCAAGGCAGACACTGCACACGTGGATAGCAGGTGTATCCACAGACAGTTTAAAACCAGAACAAAACTCATGTGATGGGAAAAGTTTGGGGGGGTTTCCATAGATTTTAAGGCCAGAAGGGACAACTAGATCATCTAACCGGACCTCCTGTATAGCACAAGCCAGAGAATTTCACCCAGTTACGCCGGCATTGAGCCCAATAATGTGTGTTAGGCTAAAGCATCTCTTCCAGAAAGGTATCCAGTCTTGTTCAGAAGACATCAAGAGATGGAAAATCCACCACTTCTCTTGGGTGTCTGTTCCAGTGGTTAATCACCCTCGTTAAAAATTTGTGCCTAATTTTTAATTTGAATGCGTCTGGCTTCAGCTGCCATCCATTGATTCAGGGTTGAGATTTTCAAAGCAGTCCAGAGGATTTAGCCTCATCTCTTCTATTAAAGTTGATGTGTGACCTTGAGAACACAGACCAGGGTCTTTAACATCAGTTTAAAAATCTACGTTGTTTAAAAAAAGAGCCCCAAAATTGAAGTAACTATAATTGACTTCTAATGGGGACAGAGTTCATAGGGTTCTGTTAAAAAAGAGTTTGCTAGCTCAGTTACATCTCTCCCTGATTGCTTCAGGTCAGGTAGTGATCAGCATATAAGAGGCAGGGACAGAATAGCTGGTGAATGCCTGCAGCTGCACAAGGGGAGTATGGCTTCTTATCCAGTCCTTATCTTTTATTGCTTCCTTATAGCTTAATACAGGCCTTCCTACCTCAGAGAAAGTGTCCCTGCCAAAACAGGCTTTCCCTCATTAATCTCTGAGCTACATTTTTCTGCTCCTCTCCACACATTAGTGAGCATTTTCAGAGAAGGTTTTAAAGTGGATACATACACAGTTTATATATTTGAAATAAATACAGAGGAAAAGAAAAAGCAGCCAGAAAAGGGAGATTGCAGAAATTAGCTCATAGGATGAATGTAAAAAGCCTTCCCTCCCTCTAGCATGCTAGATCATACAAAGTACCCTGAAGAACAAGAGTGCCTGCAGCTGAGCCAAGAGCAGTAAAACAGAAGCTAGAGAGAGTAAAACCAAGTTTGAGTTGAGCCAGGTGGTGGCAGCGGAGAGCACAAGTAGTGGAGCACAGAGAGAGAGCTATTGCCAGTAGGGAAAAAATTCTGTCTGTACTTAGACATCGTCCAGTTGCAGAGCTGAGAAGTTATGCCAGGGGCCATCAGAGCGATGTATACGAGCTGCAAACAAGAACCAAATCAGAGATCTTCTGTACAGTTCTCATGTTCAAGGAGGCAAAATATACAACAGCTGCATGACAGGCAAAGTCACCAACTGATCAACCAAAAAGAAGCAGGAGTGAAAAATAAAATGTAGTTCCTTTTTTCTGATTAACATGGTGATGCGCATACATTCCAAGTTTATGAAAACCAGCTCTGATCTGAGAGTCAGTGAGCAGTGAATTTCTGGTTGCACATGTGGCTTTTATCCATTTACTAGTTCCTAGTAAGGAATCTATTTGTCAAAAAAAAAAAAAAAAATCCTCAATCTTTTTTGTTGTCTGTATTGTCACAGATATAATTGTTGACAGGTATAATGAAAAAAATTACCAAAATAATTGAAACTGATGTGATTATATTTGGTTATTTTGACAAATAAAATATGCAACATTTTACAGAATTTTAAAATATTGTGCGCCAAATTTTCCATTTTTTGGTGCAGAATCCCCCCAGGAGTATTACACTGCCCTGCGAACAGCAGACTAGCTGGAGACAAAATCCAGTCCATTTGTTTAAAAACCTCAACAGGTTGAACACATACACAAAGTAATATACAGAAATCTGCATGGAACAGAGAGCACCAAGTCATAAGTCAGTGCTTTTCAGCACAGCAGTCCTTAGTCTCATTTAGAGGTACACCTCTACCTCGATATAACGCTGTCCTTGGGAGCCAAAAAATGTTACCGCGTTATAGGTGAAACTGCGTTATATTGAACTTGCTTTGATCCACCAGAGTGCGCAGCCCTGCCCCCCCCGGAGCGCTGCTTTACCACATTATATCCGAATTCATGTTATATCGGGTCGCGTTATAGCGGGGTAGAGGTGTACTCTAATTCAGTAGCTTTTTAAATTGAAGTAGACTCACGTCGTAAAGGACACAAAATGGTTAGACTATGCTGGTGAACTATGTTAAAATTAACAGTTTATTGCTGTTTATTCAGGGCAGACATTTATATGGTAAATCTTTTCCCAGGCACCTCCTCTTAGCCAGTCTGTCTAGGGAGCTGTATGTTAATTTCATCCTTGTGTAAGCTCACTAGAAATGAGGTCGGTTCTTTTACTTGTGTTCCAACAGGCTCCACTGGGTACTCTTCCAGTTCAGCATGTGAGGCTGTCGCCAAGCAACTGTCAGTCAGCTAGTGCCCACAGCACTGCCCAGATCAGTGAGAAATGATAGGGAAGTACTGTCATCGCATGCAGTTCTGTTAACTTCAATTGGGGTGCCCAGATCGAACTGGGAACAGAATTTGGCCTTGTACCCCTAAACACACCTGATACGTTCAAAAGAATGTGCCAAACTTGTCAGTCTTCAGAGCTTGACTCTTCTACTTGCCCTTTCCCCATTAAAGCGGGGATGGAAGCAGTGTTTGTGGAAGGGTGGCAGCCCAGGAAAGCGAAGGGCTCTGCTAATCCAGTTCAGGGCAGTAGCCGCCCGGGTTTCCCAGCACTAACCCTGCCAACTACGGCTTAACAAAGCACATGGAAATGCCAAACTCCCCAGCACTAGAGCTCACTGCCTCTGAGTATCACTGGAGACCCTGTTTGGTTAAGGCCAGATTCTGCCACCATTGCCCTGCACAACATCTTACTCTGGGCCAGAAGCCGATTGTCTTACTCATGCTGAGTAGCGCTTTACTCCACCACCAGCCCAATGACCAAGTGGAACGGCTGGTGGAGCCGGTACCTCTCAGCAGGAGAAAGGAGGAAGAGAATCAGGCTCTCCCCTAGCAAGCACCAGACCCTTCTGATTCAAGCGGGTGAAATTTCACCTGACTTGTTTATTTCCATAGATTCTCGGTCAGTGTGCCCGCCAGAGAGCAGGAGGGGAAACACGCACCAGCTACATTCACAGCTAATGGGAATTGCCGAGAAGCACACCTCTGGGGAGCGCCAGCACCACGGACTATGGGGAGTATGGAAGAATGCATGCAAGCAGGCGTGTAGGCAGACTCACCAAGGTCGTTGTTGTTCATCATGGCGTTAGATGCACGAAGCCGGGGACCTTGCTGTGTAAAGTGATACCCGAACTTCAAAAGGGAGCTATTTTTTTCTAACATGTTTGCAATCTCCATTTCCACCTTGTTGCCCAGCGGCTGGCTCTTTATTAAAAGAGAATGGAAAAGCAGGTTACAACTGAGGGCTGCCCTGTTATTTTGGTCTTTGATCCCCTGACTGCCTCCTGCTGACTCTACAGTACATCTCACAGTGCCAGCAAACACTGCACGGGGCCTCCCCCCACACTGCCCGGCCAGAACCTTCAGCACAGCGCTCTACCGCTCGGCCTCAGGGAGTTACTCCATTAGCTGGCAGTAATCCTCTATGTGGACTAGCCACTTGTCAAGCCATCTACACATACTATCCCCCACCACCAGTTGTTGGTTTTTTAGAGTGATTGTCCAGAAAACATCAGGTGAGCCAAACCCCACATTTTCTGATACAAGGCCCCCCAACAGAATATTTTTTATTCAATCTAAGAGGTCCAGTTGGGGTTTGTTTTACCTGGTTGTCAATTTTGAGCTCAATCAGTGAAGTATTGTGCTGGAGTGCTTCGATCAGAGCCAGGATCCCGGACCCAGAAATGAAGTTGGATTCCACATTCAAGCTCTTCAATACACCGTTGGCTTTTAACATCTCAGCCAGTGCCTGCAGTCACAAAGGGGAGAGCATTGGTATTGAATAATAAATAGGAAGAGTGGCCCAGTGCACTAGCCTGGGACTCTGGAGACCCGAGTTCAAGCCCCTGCTTCTACACAGACTGCCTGTGACACCTTGGGCAAGTCACTTAGTCGCTCTGTGCCTCAGTTTCTCATCTCTGGCATTTTTCATACTATATAAAGGTACAAAAAAGGGCACCAAGATTTTTTTTCCCTTTGCAGGTTGCTTTAAACAATTGCCCTTGCAAGACAACAATTCCACTAACAACCTTCCGACAGCAATTAGCCTGTCATCACACACAGCATGGTCTGGTACTTACATAGGCTACCGGGTCATTGCTTCTTGTTCCTACTATGCTTAACTTCTTTACATAGGAATTATTCTTCAGTGCTTCAGCATATGCTTTTAAAGTCGGTATGGGAATATTCTGTGAAAAGAAGGCCCAGAAAGGCAGTCATCTTTATTCAGATTCCCGGTACACTCCTTAAACAAATATTTTAAAAAGGAGCGTGCACTAGGTGTATGAAATACAACAAGCTTTCTTTATAGTGGAAATGGCACAACTGGATTATTTAGGAAGAGGCAGAAAGCTAAACCTAGATCGTAAAGTAGTGCTTGTAGTCCAGCAATGGTCAGCATGGGCCAAGCAGCACACGAATGCCTCCCCTCTGATCCCAGCTCTGCCACTCACTCACTGCCTGGATTTGGGCAAGTCACCTCACCACATTTTGGGTTCCCCACTTGTCAGATGGGGCCAATAGTCACCGGCTCACCTCCCTGGGCATTGTGGGGCTTTATGTAGCTAAGGTTTACAGAGTGCTTTGAGTAGGTAAAGCATGGGGTGTACACGAGTTCTAATATTGCTATCGCACTGCACCAGCCACCGCCAAGTCATGGCTGGGAAATAATCGCCCTTCTCAGGCCTGGATCCAGCGAGCGACCTGCATGGTGCTTATGCCGGAAGGCTCCACTTGCAGGATCACAGCCTGACCCTGACAGTTAAGCAGCTCGTGGAGGGGCAGTGTATCCTCAACTCTCAGAATCAGGCCCACTCTTCTCCCTCCCTCTGTCACTGGTGACTTTCGGGGGAGAACTAGGAGAGTTTGGCAAGTATCTGTGTGCCCGTTCTGAGCTCTCACAAGCTAAGAGTATTTCTTTCCCATTCAATACTTTACAAACCCTTTTCAGACGCTGATAACTTCCAAGTGACTCTTTAAAATTTCAAAGTGACCATTTCCATAGTCCTCAATGAGGAGTGCTTCCCCGGGATCACTGGCGTGCTATGGCTTTAACACGACTACTCGTACGCCCATCTGTGAATAGTGCAGTCATGGATCTTTGGCCCATGTTTTCAAAAGTGGCACTTCAGATCATTAGTCCAACTAGAGACGCCTCGAGAGCCCCTGCCACCTGTGAGTCAGGCTCCATTCCAGGGGTCTCAAGTTGCACCCCTAAGTCACAAGTCACTTTTGAAAATGCAATCCTTTATCTATGGAACGTTGCAACTGGCTGGATGTGCACACGTGCCAGGGTTTTAAGGACTGTGCGCATGCAATTAATGGCACCAGCATTGCTAACTGCACACACAGGAACCTTATCTGCATTTATCTGAATACATAATCACTCAAACACATACAGAGGGCGTAGGCCGGCAAGGAAGGGAGCTGAAGCCATTATCATTCAGCTGGCGTGTATGTATTTGGTGCTGTGTGTGCATTTAAAAGGTGACCTGCAAAGCTGTGCATGTGCCCTGATTTGCTTCTTTATGGGAGGTCTGTGGAAAAAAGAAAGAGCTGGTAGGGAAGAGTGGGTAGTTCTGCTTGTTTTAACTTGAGTATTTGGTTTTACCTTCCATGGTTGGACTGGACTAGAAAACAGTAATGGGTGCTTTCCCAGCCGCCAAACGAAAACAGCAACGAAGGCACGTTGCCCATGCACAGGAGTTAAAGAGAAGTTAACAGAAACCAAGTTTTTAAGGTACAAGACTAGAACTCCTTTCCCTCTCCTTTAGCAGGTTTAAGGACAAATATAAGCGTATACAAGCACAATTTCTTGTCCTTTGCACGTCACCTTTAACAAGAAAAGCCCAGAGAAAAGCCTAGATTTTAATGAGCCATGTCAGGTAATGTAGAATGGTGGTTTCTCACAGCACTTTTAACTTCACAGCCATGCACAGATGCCTACATGAGCTCTTTCATTGCAAGACATACCACATTGTTCAGTACCACACAGCCTTTGGCAGACAATACAGTATCATTAGCACAAGAGGGCAATGCGAAACACTGACTTTTGTGAAATTAAATTACCAGCCTTAGTGTTACATCAGTGTAATTTTTCTGCACAGAGTTTTACTAATAAATTCCTGCAGTGAAGCAGCTAACATTGACCTAGGGACTCCGTGTGTATTATTTTGAAAGCTCCTTGCTCTGCCAGTCTTGCACCGTGTTTGTACATGACATCTAGCCACATGCACTGTTAGGTTTCCCTGTAAATACAATGCAAACCCAAAGCACAGTATTTTTTCTGACTGTAGGCAGGCTCTAATGACAGACTGTGAAACCCCCTCAAAAACATCCTAAAACAACCCAAAGCCAGATTCTGATGCCTAACTTCTGTTGAGCAATGCCTTATTCTGCAAGCAACCCTGTCGATTTCTACATAAGCAAGGAGTTCAGAATCTAACCATAACTTGTCCTTTTGCCAATAGTGGCCAACACAGGCTGCTGTGACAATAACCTATTCTCCTGCACAGCAAGGTGTGCTTGGCCTTTGTCCTCTAGATAGCACACATCCTGTCTCCCTGTGAAGTGTTAATTGCAGTAGGAAGGGGAAGCTGAATACCCTAATATTATTAAGGTTGACTTCCTCGAGTTTAGGGTCATTGTTCTTTACTCGTTCCAAAGTTTCTTCTACATCTGTTGAATTAGGTTCTTCATCGGGAACTGGTTTATATTGCGTGGGCTTAATCACACCTGCAATTAAAAAGCAACATGAAAAAAATCAGATGGGGTGGAAAGACACTTTCTTTAGGCCACTCTCAGTTTTGGGCTGGTTTTTTCCTGTCATAAAAAGGACACGAGGAAAGGAGGAATCAATTGGTTGATGAAGGTTCTAACTGAAGATATCAGGTCACGTAAGTAACCTTCGTCTGTCTTGTCTGTTTAGACTGTAAATTTGTCAAGGCAGGGACTAGCTCTTACAGTGTATGTATTGGGATGGGACCCCCATCGCTAAAAGCTACTACAGCCCCTCTGCATCTAGGGGCAGTAACAACTCACATCCTCTGAGAATTGGCACAGATGACACCCTACAACACACAAACACCAGTGGGTTAAATACGTACAGTGCCTGGCGCAAAGGGACCCTGATCTCAGTTGGATCTTGGCTGTAACATAAGGAGAGGTTACTTACTTGTATAGTAACTGGAGTTCTTTGAGACGTTCTCTCTCTACAGCTTCACTTTAGGTGTGCATGCACCTGTGTGCTTTTGATAGGAGATTTGTGGTAGCAGTGTGTGGGGTCCGTACCTACGCTCTATATATCCTAGTGCCCCAATCTGAGGGCATATGGGAAGGACAGTCCCTCCGCTGTTCCAGTTCCTTCTCACCCACGAAACCTGGCCAGAAGCAAGGACTCCAAAGTAGAGGGGAAGGAGGGCAGATAGCAGAGCACTCATTCAGAGAGAGCATCTCAAAGAACTCCAGTAACTGCATGTGACAATCAGGGTCCTGACACCCCAAGGGGAGAACAGGGTTTGAACCCCAAAGAATAAGCTGTTGAATCAACTGGTTTTATGCAACTGTAAAAGTGTATCAAGTAAAGTCTTTTATGAAACGGTCTGAACTTGATGATCATTATGAGACTTGTACACAGCCTGTGGTTCTGTATGTATTTCTGTCTATAGCATAGTATGCTCATGGCCGGCACTGCGACGCCAAGTACGCCTCACAGCAGGGAGCGGCTCCTCCCTAGCTAGCTGTTCACACGAAGCTTAGGCCTTGTCTACACTACAGAGTTTTGTCGATAAAAGTTACGCCGCTTTAATTAAACCACTGTTGCATGTCCACACTATGCTCTTTGTGTTGGCAGAGTACATCCACACTAGCTGCTCTTGCATCGACACAGAGAGCAGTGCATTGTGGTAGCTATCCACTGTGTAACTGGCTGCAAGGTGCTTTGGGAAGCGTTTGCAATGCCTCATGGGGCAGGTACAGCGTCACATGATGCAGGTTTCTCAATCCCATTGTTCCATGGGCATCCAACTAGATTGCCAGCTGCTTTTCAGCCCAAGTGTGTGGTGGGGATAGGAGGGAGTGAGTCTGTGACAGGGAGAGAGAGTGTGTGTGTGTGTGTGTGAGAGAGAGAGAGAGAGAGAGTGGAGTGACAGAAACAGTGTGTGTGTGTTGGGGAAGTGTGTGAGAGATTGCAGGGGGAGTATATATGTGAGAGAGAGACACTGTGTGTTGAGGAAGTGTGTGTGTTGGGGGACAGTGTGTCGGCAAGCTGTCTCTGTAAGTTCAGACAGCAGCCTGAGCAACCAATCCTGGGGGAGAGGGACACCCTCCCACATCTGCCCCCGGCTCTGCACAGCACAGCCGTCTCTTCCCCACATGCAGCAGCCCGCTCTGCCTGCCGCCGATTCCACATTAATGGTTCTGTGATTCCCTCCAAGTTCTCCCACAGCCTCCGCTCTCACCGCTGAGGAATGTCAAAGCTTCAGGGAGTTTTGCAAGGGGAGGTAGCTAGATGCAGGGCAGCCGAGTTCAAAACAGTGAGCAGAGCGGTCACAGTGGGCATTGTGGGATACTGGGGGAGGCCAGTTATGTTGACATAACGAATGGCAGCATCTACACTGATGCTTTGTCACTTTAATTTTTCTGCAAAAAGCTCCATGCCTCTCGTCGAGGTGGTTTTATTTTGTCGGCAAAACAGCAGTTTTGCCGCCAAAAGTAGTGTGTACACCACACCTCCACTGTTTTGTCAGCAAAAGCTGCCTGTTGCTGACAAAATCGTGTAGTGTAGGCAAGGCCTCACTTCAAGTACCCACCCGTTGTCCAGCCAAGAAAAGACAATGGTGGACCATTAGAATTCAGTTAACTTGAAACTAAAAAGAAAACCCCAGTCTTGGAAAACTCAGGCCTTGTCTACACTACAGAGTTTTGTTAGCAAAAGGCAGCTTTTGGCAGCAAAACAGTGGAGGTGTGCACACTGCAGTGCCACTTTTGGTGACAAAACTCTTCAGTATTGGCGACAAAATAAAACCATCTCCACGAGAGACATAGGGTTTTTAGCAGCAAAGTGCCAATGTAGACACCGCGCTTGATTTTACTGCTTTAATTGGCTCCAGGAGGTGTCCCACAATGCCCATCCTGACCACTCTGGTCAGCAGTTCGAACGTTGCTGCCCTGCGGCCATATAAACAACCATCCATCCCTCCCCATTTAAAGCCCCACAAATTTTTAAAATTCCACTTCTTGTTTGCTCGGCATGAAGAGCTCACATCGCATCTTCCCAGCTGACCATGGTGGCTCCATGCTGCAACCCGGGTCCATCTCCCATTGGGACTAATGCAGAGCTGTTGGATCTGCTCAGTATTTGGGGAGAGGAGGCTGTGCAGTTGCAGCTGGGCTCCATAGGAATTTTGATACCTAGGGCCAGATTTCTCATGGCTTGTGTGAAAAGGGATACAATCAGAACACAGAGCAGTGCAGAACAAAGATAAAGGAGCTGAGGCCAGCATACCAGAAGGCAAGGATGGCAAACTGTCGCACTGGTGCTGTCCTGAAGGCCTCCTGCCTATTCTATAAGGAGTTGGATGCATAGGCACCGACTGCGTGGGTGCTCCGGGGCTGGAGCACCCACGGGGAAAAATTAGTGGGTTTTCCGCACCCACCAGCAGCCGAGTTTCCCCCACCTCTTCCCTGCCTCCTCCCTTGAGCGTGCCACGTTCCTGCTCCTCGTCCTCCCTCCCAGCACTTCTGCCCACTGCCAAACAGCTGTTTGGCGGTGCTCCAGGAGGGAGGGGGAGGAGTGGGGACACAGCGCGCTCAAGGGAGGAGGCGGGGAAGAGGCGGGGTGAGGACTTGGGGAAGGGGGTGGAATGAGGGTGGGGTGGAGGCAGAACGGGTGGGAAGAGGCAGGGCGGGGGTGGGGACTTGGGGAAGGGGGTGGAATGAGGGCGGGGTGGAGGCGGAACAGGGGTGGGAAGAGGCAGGGCGGGGGTGGGGACTTGGGGAAGGGGGTGGAATGGGGGCAGGGTGGAGGCGGAACGGGGTGGGAAGAGGCAGGGTGGGGGCGGGGCAGAGGTGGGGTCAAGCACCCACCAGTGGGAACAGAAGTTGACGCCTATGGTTGGACACTATCCTCGGCGACGACCCCACCTCCATTGCCAAGAGCCCCATGGATGCTTTGGTGGGGCTGGAGGCGGTGGAAAGGTGACCTAACTCAGAGGATGGAGTCATGGACGAGGAGGTGGAGTTAGGGAATTATGTGGCTCCCACGGCGGGTTTGCCAGGTGGGCTGGCCAGTCAAGAACTGTTCTCCACGCTGGAATGGTCTAGCCAGTCCCAGCACTCCCACTCTGGCACGCAAGAAGCAGGAGAGGAGACCCCTGGTAAGTGGTTTTTTTGAGTTGATGGTGCTCATTTGCTTCGTGTATTGCAGAAGTAGGTGAAAGGATAGAAAATGTACAAGTCTGGCTGTGTTTCTGTGTGCTGGACATTTTCCTGTGCAGCTAAGCAGTGCCGTGGAATACTCAGATGCACACTGAGATTTCACAGGAATCTTCCAGAGAGATCTCTAGGAAACTTTCCTAGAGGTACTTGGTAGTCCTTTGTCGGAGGTTCCTTGGCAGAGCTGCTTTGTTCCTTCCCCCATTGAATGAAACTTTCCCACGCCACTCAGCAATCACTTGTGCAAACCAAAGCTGCATACAGGCGAGCAGCACAGGGACCAGGTCGGAAGCCGCAAGCATGCAGCAGTTGCAGCCTTGCTTCCTTGGTTACCCTCAGGAGTGAGATATCTGCTTCAATGACCTCCGCCTGTGGAAAAGTGTTGGAGCATTTACAATATTGTCCCTAGTCACCTGCACCACAACCCTTTCATAAGCACCACTGCTGTTTACCCCAGGTAGAATGCCCCTCCCCCCTTGGACTAATCTCACCGTGCCTGGTGTGTTCACTGAGATGTGTGCTTGCCAAGGGCAGTGAGAAAGTGCTTGGTATGTTACAAGGGGTGTGCTAAACTGCAATGATTCAATGTTGTGCATGAACTAACAATCATGCTTCTGTGTATTGTTTCTTGTGCTGCTGCAGATGTGGCCTTCAGGGGAGCCCCCTACACACCAGGGGAGCGCTTCCGCCAGATAAGAAAGCGGCTAAGATGGAGCCAGGAGACATGTTCCAGGAGGTCCTGCAATACTCTGATGCAGTAAAAAGGGAACGCAGGGAGTAGAGAGAAATTGAACAGCCGGACAGAAAAGAAAATCAGAACTTTTTCTTGGATGTCACTAAGCAGATGATAAAAACAGAGATGCATAAGTTTTTCATAATACTGCAGTCACAGCAGATGCGTGCCTTCCCTCCTCTGCAGCACATTCAGAACTGTTTTCCATGCCCCTCCCAACTCCACCCATACATTCCCTTACACTTTCTGGAACATCTCCGTTTTCCATTCATCCCACCCGCTCAAACAGCTTTCAAAATGATAGCTGGACCTATGCACAGCTCTTCCGTGGTCCCTTCTTTTCCCACTAAGCGTTTGTGTGTGTGTTGATTGTTTGTTTAGTAAAAACAAAGAATCTGAAAGATAACTGCTCTTTAGTTATGTCCTACAAATTGAGATAGAAGACAGCAGCAAGACATACACAGGCAGTTTAATCCTTTGCTTACTGAAATCCTAGACCACGAATCATCGCAAGTGCTTCCTAAGAAAACTCGATTTAATAAATCATTGCAGTTTGCAGCATAGAAAT